GGATATAGTATTTTATTTGGGGATACTATGGTACCCATTATAGGGTTTAGGGCCCTATAATGGAGAATCAAATGGAAAAGAAAATGGAAAATGAAATGGAAACTGGGATTATATAGAGGTTATTGGTGTAGTGTTTTATTTGGGGATACTATGGTACTCAATATAGAGTAAGATTATATCCTCTTTTTGGGTATTTTTATATAAGGAATATTATCTTACTAGGTTCAACCACCAAAAAGACCGCTACTCATATGGGCTTGTTTCCAACAATTAGTGGCTTCGTTTTCGGAGTCCTTATAGTGAGGATTCTAGCAAATTGAGGTCACTATTGTTGGGTCCCTTTACTTATGAAAACTACCATACGTGGTCCAAACCCTCCAGGACTTTTCAGAGACTCGAAGCCCTAAACCCCAAACCCTTTCGCGCTGGATGCAGTAAGGTCTGGCGGTGCGTCGTCGATACAGCTGCATCTTTCTCGGCTTGCTGGTGCGTACGGGTTGGGATAACGCACTTTCACAGTCCTCATGTCATTTGAGCTCTTGTGAGTATTCGGTCTACCAGGGGACTATTAAGGGTGGACATTGGGGTCATTTTGGGAGTTTAGTATAGTCCTGAACCCTAAACTACGTGAAGCCCATGTCCATGAACTACATGGGACCTTTTGACTGCGGCTCATATGGGGAGATAGGCGTAGGCGGGTTTGGTGTTTTGGGTTTGTAGTTTAGGATTTAGGCATTTAAAAGATGTTTGGTCCAGTTTTGGAATCCTGCGAAGAATGATGTTTAGGGTTTAGGGTCTAGAGTTTAGGGCCCAGGGTTCACGTTTAGGTCTTAGAGCTTGGGACTCCCCAAATCCCAAAAGGGGACCCCGATTTTGTGGCAACCACCATGTTCTTCACTCTTTAAGTGGGGGTTACATAGGGGATTATATAGGTAGTATTGTAAAGGTTATGAAAGGGGATACCAGCAGTTGAAATTATATCTGGCGTGAACTCAGCACTCAGGGATGTGTTTGCTCGCGCTTCGCCCCGGCCATGCGATGGAGATCCTCTCGTTGGGGGGTCATTATCTACCACAGCCATCTATTAATGGTACACCACAATATGCGCGAATATATATATATATACTGAATGATATATTATCAGATGCAAAATCCCAAAATTGAGATATGCGAATCACACAAGCCTGCGCCCAGGAAGGAAAATGCCTCCAGCGGCGGCTGAGCAACGGCCCCAAACACTCTGCGCCAGCGTGGCGCATCAGGAGTTCAACCGTTCAAACGTGAACGGTACTTGCAAAATGTCGGATATACTGTAGCGGAACCATCAGAATTTTTGCGGATGTGCAGACCATTGCAGACAAAGTAACTTTCATTGGCTTGGGGCACATTGCAGTGTGTGTTTGAAGAGTCTTGTCGCAGCATCGAGTGATGTAGATGGGATAGTCGCAACTACCTTGCTTGGTAAATTCCAGTCGAGAATTTTTCCCATCTGAGGGAGTTAGAGAGACAGAGACTGTCGCGTCTCACGATACAGGTTGCGGTGCGGCACAAAATGCAGTGGCTAGGAATGATGCTCTTTGCTGGTCTTTCTTGCAAGTAGCATAGTAAGCAGCCATCCGTGCTGCTCACAAGGTACTTGCAAGTATGCTTCTTCGGATGTCTGTTGGGCCTGTTGGTCCGGCATGGACTGATGGCCTCTTTCTGTCCCAAACCCTAGACCCTAAACCCCCGGTATCACTCCAGCTAGGAGCCTTGAGCAGGCCCCCCTCTACTTACTGGTTCTTAGGGCAACATATGTGTATGACATAGGGTTATATGGGGATAATGAAAAAGGAAATGGAAACGACTGTTTTGGGTATAGGGTTTAGGGTTAGTAGGGAATTATATATTGTATGGGGATTATAGGGTGTTATATTCTGTTCTTTCCTTCTAGGAACCAGTACGTCTCTGGACCTGGATGTATAGGTTGGGGATCGTCAGAGCGTACCATCGCACTTATGGTAGCTGGTAGCTGGTAGCTCCACTTCAGTGACAGCCCCGCGCCTTTCGCTAGCCCCAAAAGTCGTTCTCCCAAATCCAAGTCCTGACTTCGCCGCCAAAAGCTCAGTAACTGTTCTCCGAGACTTGAGCTGCAGTTTCCAAATAAACGTCTCATAGAGTCATAGAGTATGGTAGCGAACATTCCCCAAACTGTGCAGTCAGACGGCATCCCGCTGGGATTGCAAAAGCGGATGAATGTCTGGAAAGGATCGTTTCATGCACACACGGGAGTTTCCCTGCAGCTTTTCGGGACGATCGAGCGGTCACGAATTCCCGCTGTGCGTCGGGGGGTCTCGCAAACTGCTAGCGCTTTGTGGAATTTTATGTTTTCGTCCAGGCTGAG